TGTTTATTGATCCTTTGTATTTCATATTTTGTGAAATGCTTAACCCGTTTCTATCCTTTGCCCATGTTTTTAGTTATTTCTAACAATACCCAGACATTGTATGTATCCTTACATTTGTCCTGTTAAAAAATGTATTTTGCTAATATTTTCTTGTAGGTTTGCCCCGTCTTATAATTTTATTTGTAGTCTATTTTCTTTCTCAGAAGTCTTACGTTTTTTCAGCTTTGTTTGTTGATATTTTTCCTTTGTGGTTCTCCGTTTTGTATTTTACTTAGGAAGGACTGATGTTTGTTATTTTCATTCTCAGTTAATTTACAGGTATTTTTTCTTTTTTATAAATTTATTTATTTGTTTGTTTATGGCTGCATTTGGTCTTCGTTGCTGTGTGCAGGCTTCCTCTGGTTTGCGGCAAGCATGGGCTACACTTCGTTGCGGTGCACGGGCTTCTCATTGGGTGGCTTCTCTTGTTGCAGAGCACCGGCTCTAGGCACATGGTCTTCAGTAGTTGTGGCACTTGGGCTCAGTAGTTGTGGCTCACGAGCTCCAGAGCTCGGGCTCAGTAATTGTGGTGCACGGGCTTAGTTGCTCTGCAGCATGTGGGATCTCGCTGGACCAGGGCTTAAACCCTTGTCCCCTGCATTTTTTTTTTTTGCGGTACGCGGGCCTCTCATTTTTGTGGCCTCTCTCATTGCGGAGCACAGGCTCTGGACGCGCAGGCTTAGCAGCCGTGGCTCATGGGCCCAGCCGCTCCACGGCATGTGGGATCTTCCCGGACTGGGGCACGAACCCGTGTCCCCTGAATCAGCAGGCGGACTCTCAACCACTGCGCCACCAGGGAAGCCCGACAGGTGGATTCTTAACCACTGTGGCACAAGGGAAGTCCTAATTTACAGTTTTTATGCTATTATTTTTAAGTATCTCTCCTGTCACTTCAGTGGCTTCTTGATAGGGAAAGGAATTAGATAAGTGTGCTCAATTTGCCATCTTTATCAGGAATTCAGACAGGTACTTAATTATTCCATGTACTAGGGTTTGTCTCTTGGCTTAATTTAATAACTCACTATCAAGAAGTTTCACAAGCATGTAGTCACTCATAACATTAGATATGCTTTCATTTTATGCCTTAAAAGTATTCTGATATGTTGAATTATTTGCAAGTGGAATATTATAGGCCTTATCAAGGTTTAAATGTAATATAACTTAAAAGTCCTTTTTAATTTTCATTACTCAAAATATTTAATAATTCTTCTATGTTTGTTTACTTTGGATAATTAAAACTTTTATTTTAACAAAAAGCAAACATAAAATGTTTTCCTTTATCTAGCTCAGGAGAAAATCTGTAGCTTTCAAGCATTGAGGTTTGTTATAGATGATAATAAAAATACAGGTATTGCAGTTTAGCTTTTCTATTATGTAGTACACTCCCATTTTTAAATACCAAAACTATATTAATTTTAAAGTGATTGAGTCTTTTGTAGTTGTAAATTTTCTCCTTGTCAGTAAAATATTTGAAGAGTGTTGGGTGTTCTATTTAGTTGTGAAATATTTTCCCTTTTTGGTTTTATCCCATGTTTATAACTATGCCTCATTAAATATAAACAAATATTTTCTCTGATAAATTGTTCCATTTATTCATCTGTGTTAGTGATGAATTTAGATAGTGATTGATTCATTTTGCTGTCTAGATACTGAATCTAGATGGATTGATTTATTATTTAAAAAGCTTTAGTACTTGGGTACAGTTTGACAGGTATGAATCAAGTTGGTAGCACAGAAGATAGCAGGAAAACAAAAGAAAAGAGAAATGATGAATGTATACAGATCAGAGGAAAATGGAATAGAATGTATATTTGTGAGTAGTTGGCTAGGGGATCAACCATAAGAGATGAATGCTCAATAATTCCTTGTATTGCTTTTTCCCTGAAAAATTTTTTAACTCTACTCTGTGTTCCTTAGCCAAATTCTTCAATTCCTTTAGTCCTTTCCCTTAAGTTATTTGATTCATTTCTTTAGTTATACTGCTTTTTCTCTGAAGTTCTCTAAATGGTATGTAGTATTTTTAGGGCCACCCATGTTACATTAATTCTGCTCTTTTATATAATCTAGTAAGGAATATATCATACCCTCTTGTTTCTTTGTGTATATTTTAAAGTTACTTTATTTAAAATTTTTTAAATTTAATTTGTTTATTTTAATTTTAATTTTATTGGAGTATAGTTGATTTATAATGTGTTAGTTTCAGATGTACAGCAGAGTGATTCAGTTATACATAAACATATATTCATTCTTTTATAGATTCTTTTCTCATATAGGTTATCACAGAATAGAATATCACAGAATATTGAGTAGTTCCCTGTGCTATACAGTAGGTCCTTGTTGGTTATTTATCTTATATATAGTAGTATGTGTATGTTCATCCCAAGCTCCTGATTTATTCCTCCCCCCACCTTTCTCCTTTGGTAACCATAAGTTTGTTTTCGATATCTGTAAGTCTATTTCTGTCTTGTAAATCGGTTCATTTGTATCTTTTTTTAAAAATTAGATTCCATATATGAGTGGTATTATATGATATTTGTCTTTCTCTCTCTGACTTACTTCACTTAGTATGATAATCTCTAGGTTCATCCATGTTGGTGCAAATGACATTACTTCATTCTTTTTTATGGCTGAGCAATATTCCATTGTATATATGTACCACATCTAAGTTACTTTAGTTACTTTGCTGCTTTATGACATCAGTAATTTGGGTCTAATTTTATGCTTGCTCTTTTCCCTGAGCCGTTTTTTATTGTAATGTCTTTAACAGTCAACAGTCTGAATTCTTATTCTTAATATTTTCAATTACATTTGTATTATTTTACCTCAGACCCACCTGTCTTTATTTTTCTTGGTGGATTTCAATAGCCTTACTTTAACATCATGCCTACAGTAAAACTGTTTTTATTTATTTTAGAGTAGTACAGATAATTTCCCTGAGATTCATTTGTTACTCTCAGACTCCTAAGCCCATGTAAAAACTTGAAGATGCTCTTTTGTAGAATTCTCTTATAATTTAAATGTGTACTCACTTCCCTGTGAACACACATGTGCACACACACATTTTCACATATGCAGAATGGGGGTGTCGAAGGACAGAACGTGACCACACTGACATTTTGAGGGCTTAGAATGAGGCATTTTAGGTTAAAGTTACTTTTTTTGGAAAACGTGTACAAGTTATACCCCTTCTGATTTGAGGATCATAATTGACAACAAGAAAACCTGCTATTTCTAATACTTAGGATGAGAGTAAATTATCTTTGAAAATGTATTCATATATTTGCAAGCTATACCTTAAAAGTCAGTAGAATGAAGAAAATTAAGAAATAGTGAAAAGACTTGAAGTATGATCCTAGATCTTTACATAGTTTGTCAGATTACATTGTACAAATCACTTACCTTATTTTCACATTTGTGAAGTGAAGTGCTTATGCTAAATTGTTTTAGGTACAGATTCTACAAAGCTTTGGCATCCATGGTGCAGGTATAATGGGCAGATGGAACTTGTGAATGCTTTTACCAATACTGTGCTACAGAGAACTCAGTCACTTGGATTTGGATAATTTTTAATGTAAACTGAGAACACCAAATTTATAGAGCCCCATTTCTTCAGTGAATAACATGTATAGCTGTTTCTGATTAAAAAAATAAAGCAAACCCCACCTCTGCCCTCTAAAAATGTTTGAAACAAACCAATAGAAAATATAATCAAAAAAAGTTTTTTCATAAAGAGTTTTCTCCTTTGAAACATTGAGAGGGTGTGTAGCAGAATCAAGGTCACTAAATCATTTATTTTAAAATCCATGGAGTAGAATTGTTTATACATTCTATTATCAGAATTTTCCATCTGTCAATCTATGTTTTGTCAATGTTCTTCCTACTACAAGAAAACTAACAAAGCTAACAATTGGGGGATCATTACTTTCTTTTTAAAAGACATATTAGGAATTTAAAAGATAAATAAATTGGAGGTATAAAGGAGCACTCAAAGTTGTAAATAACTCATGGACTTCAGTAATGGTCCAGGCCAAGGTGGTTGAGGGCTACAATCTGTGTTTATATGCAAGTTCTTAGCATCAGTTATAGAAGTTTTATAACAAAATGTATTTAAAAAATTTATGGCGTACTAACTTTATTAATTAAAATCCTCTTGGTGAAAAGTTATTTTACCTTAGAAAGTGGCCTTAGGCATTCTCCTTTAATTTATTGATTTAGAACAAAGTGTTTGAAAAAGTATATGAAAAGCTTTGAAATAATTGCAAGGTACATGGTGTCCAGCTTGCCAGTGATATTTTTCCTTTTTTGTAGTTTATAAGGCAAAGTATTTTAAACTCTTTCTCAAATAGAATTTTGCTTCTTCAGTAATAAGCTATACTCTATCCAAAGGGTGTCAACATTTTGTAATGTAGAGGCTTCACTGTGGTCTAAAGAGTTACGGTATTTTAATTAGGAAAATTGATCAGGGACATCCGTATGATGGTGTACATTTCCCAGTGCTCCCATATTCTTCTAAATTGGAATGAAAAATACATTAAAATTTACATTAAATTACATCTGTTTTCAAAGTTAAAGGGGGGAACCCTGGTGGTCCAGTGGTTAGGACTCGGCGCCTTCACTGCTGGGGCCTGTGTTCAATCCCCAGTCAGGGAACTAAGGCCCCACAATCTATGCGGGGGCGGAAAAAAAAAGAAAAGGAGGAAGGGAGGGAGGAAGGAAGGAAGGAAGGGAAGGAGGAAAGAAGGAAAGAAAGGGCGGGAGGGAGGGAGAGAGGGAGGAAGGGAAGAAGGGAGGAAGGAAGTTGAGTCAGGGGAAAAGGGGGTTGGGATGGGGTTTATGGAATGTATTTGGGACTCCATGGTGGGAGGTGGGGGTCACAGCAGCCCTTTCATCATAAACAGAAAGGAAATTTTGATCAGGGCATTTAGGTTACATGGTTCTTTGCCTTTTTTTGTTTGTTACAGGCAAAGGGGAAGATAGTGATGTACTCAGTATAAATGCAGATGCTTATGACAGCGACATAGAAGGCCCATGCAATGAAGAAGCAGCTGCTCCTGAGGTCTCAGAAAATACAGTCCAAAGTGAAGCTGGTCAGATAGATGACCTGGAAAAAGACATTGAGAAAAGTGTGAATGAGATTCTGGGACTGGCAGAGTCTAGCCCAAAGGAACCGAAAGCCGCCACCCTGACTGTTCCTCCACCAGAAGATGTTCAGCCTTCTGCACAGCAGCTGGAGCTGCTAGAACTTGAGATGAGGGCAAGAGCTATTAAAGCCCTAATGAAAGCTGGTGATATAAAAAAGCCAGCCTAGTTTATTTAAATTGTATCTGAATATTAGATGTGTTTGAACAAAGCCACATCATATACTTTTTTGTATCTAAAGTTTATTTGGGGTCTTACATGATATTTCTCATGTAACTCTTATTAGATAAACTCATTTTAGGCCTAAAATACATGTTTTTGTTGTTGTTGTTACTTTTGTATTATATATGTTATTGTTTTCTGAATTCATGGCAAATATCATTGGGTAACCTGGATACTTTGTTAGATGAGTATTTAGCTATATCTGCAAATTAATACCAGAAAAGCCATTAGCAAAGAGTCATGGTATTTTTTTCTTTAGTTTGAAATGTTTTGACATCAAACCAAAAAGTTTATGAAAGATTGACCAAGCATGTTGCCTTTAGGCTACCTGTATTTTGCGATAGAATATTAAATTATTGCTCCTAGGTTTGTTAACAATTTAAGAAATTTAGTTATGCTTATATGCACTTTTAAAATATGTACTGCATTGAAGATGCCTTCTATGGTGTGGACTTGCTAGTAAAAACTGAGTGACATTTTTGTTACAAGACTTAGAGATCCAAAATGGCTGAGAAAAGCTTTCTTTATAAAAGAAAAGGACTTAAAGCATTTTTTAACAATGTAGAAGTAATTGCCCAACTTTAATTCCAGCAGACAAGTTATTCTAACGGGTGTGTGATATTACTGGACGCTTAGTTCATTTTTTTTCCTTCAATAAAAAGGGAAGGGCTTGCCTGGTGGCGCAGTGGTTGAGAGTCCACCTGCCGATGCAGGGGACACGGGTTCATGCCCCGGTCCGGGAAGATCCCACATGCCGTGGAGCGGCTGGGCCCGTGAGCCATGGCCGCTGAGCCTGCGCGTCCGGAGCCTGTGCTCCGCAACAGGAGAGGCCACAACAGTGAGAGAGAGGCCCCCGTACTGCAAAAAAAAAAAAAAAAAAAAAAAAAGGGAACACATTTTAATTTACATTCCAAGCTATTAGGGAAAGGAGACTATTTTATCGTACAGCCTTTCATCCAATGTTTTTGCTTGAAGATCTGATGTGCCATAATTAAAATAATTAATTTTAAATTAATGAATTAAAAATAATAAAGAATGTCATTCTGGATCTGAGGACTTTTGATACATTTCCAAAAATGAAACTAATTTCAGGAAGCTTTGATAAGTTGATGTAATAATTAATCTAATTTTGTATAGTTTTTGTAAATAAATTAACATCCTGCCACAATTATGGATGCTTGCCCCATCACTAATTGTAGTTGTTTGGTACCAAAGTAAATTTAGGTGGAGACTCTTAAAATAAATTAATTTTTTTTCTAAAAGATAAATCTGGAACTGTTGTTTTTATATTTGCTAACAAAAACAGTATATTTTATTTATAAGCCATGTTCTGTTAATGTTGTATGAGGATTTTCCTTATACACAAAACTTACAGGGATTGTGTCTTATTAGCTGGCTTAATTATATGTAAATTTTAGAGGGTTTTTTATGAAAATAGTATTTATGAAACACTGGAGTTGCAGTTAACAAATTCATTTTTGTTGTTCCTGAACATGCCTTTAAATAATCCTGTCATTTTTTTGTGTGGAATCTTTCTAATGAAGGACAGAGGCCTATATCATTTGAAATGCTTCTCTTAGGCTGATAAACATGGATATGATTTAAATAGTTCTCATAGTTACTGCTTCAAAATGAAAAAATCAGTTTCTATTTTAACTTAAAAGTTAAAATAATAACAAAGTAGTGCAGAATAAACTTTATTGCTGCTTATTAATTATAAGATGCAGTAGATGACTTTTGTGTGATCAAACATAGTAGAAAAAGATCTGAGTGCTTTGTAGCTGATAAAAGTCACCACCTTCATGAAGCATTGTGTGTCTGCTGTATTCACTGTGCAGAATTGTTTAGAGGACATTTGACTAGAGTGGGTGTGTTTGAGGTAGAATGAACTGAACAAATCAGAGGCTGCTTGGATTCTTACCTTGGAAAATCAACTTTCTCACTTTTTTTTTTTTGTAATGTTGAAAGACGAGAGGTTTTTGCAAATGAATGGCTTTAGAGAACAGGAATAAGGTTATTTTAGAAATGCCTGGATCAATATATGGGAAAATATCATATATTGATCTGATGCTGTCATTTAAATCATCAGCTCACAGGTATTTATTGACTACCTCAAAGGTGTCTTGTTCAGAATCTTAAACTGTTATGGTGTAGGAATGTTGTGGTGTAGATTTTAGCATGGAATAGACTGATTAATAAACATATGAGCGCTGCTTTGTTTTATGCCCAATTCTTCCCTTTTGCCAAGGTAAAGAAAAATTTTAGGCAATGTTTAATTAGTGATTAAGAGGAAAAAAATTTGGCAGCCTAACTTTCCATCCAAAGTCAGGTAATTCTGATATTTGACTAGGAACTTGACCCAAGACTTGAATGATAGGTAGCAACTGGTAATAATGGGTCCTCTGCATTAGGCCTTGGCCCACTTTTTGATGTTCCTATTAATACAGAAACTCAAGGTATATCCTAAAAACCTATCAGTAGGTTACCAGCGTGTAGCATAATAATTATGAAAATTACCTAACACTCTCAAGTCCTTTGGTTTTGAACACCATCAGTTCCTTAAAACTATAGGGCAGTATATCTTTTCCTTGTAAATCTTGTCAAAACCTACTTTCAGCAAATCGTTAGATCCTAGGGCATGATTAGCTATCTGAATAAAGGTGTTCTGAGTCATTTGAATAGTAATACAAATTGCAATAAAATATGTGTTTTCAATGCCATTTTCAAGGTAGATGAAGCAGGAGTGAACCCACAATTTAAGCAAAATATAGATGGCAGCCTGAAAGTTTCAAAAATTCTCAGTTCCATTTCATCATAAAAAGTAGGAAAAGAGAGTTTGGTTATAGATACTTTTCCTTTATTGTATAATATCTAATTATTTAAAAGTAAAAGACCAATATGCTTTAACTTAAAACTAATAGATATTTTTACTTTTTTTATTTTCAAGTAGTCTCCCTTTTTAAATAAAAAGAAAAGTGCTAATGAATATATCAGTAGGAACTCAATTTCCTTGATTTTTAATTATTATTTTAAAATGCATTGTGATAAAATGACAAGAGTGTGAGAGTTAACAGAGGGTTCTGATTCTGCCCAAATCAGCTGTGTAACTTTGGACAAGTAACTATAAAATGGGAGAGATGAATCATTAGCCGATTTATAAGGTTTCTTTCTGCTGTAACATCCTGTGATTCCAGTAGAAAATACCATAAAATTTGTGAAACTTAGGGAACTCTTTTGAGTTCAAGTATTTTTTAGGGCTTCCCCTCCTCTTCCCCCTATTCAAAATAGTCTAATCTTTCTTTGTCCCATAGGGTTGCTAGATATGAACAATAGTCCAGTTTTTTTTCTTTTACCTATTTTTTTCACTATTTATTTATTTATGTATGTATTTATTTATTTATCGTTGCTGCCCGCGGACTTTCTCTAGTTGTGGCAGGCGGGGGCTACTCTTCATTGTGGTGCGTGGGCTTCTCATTGCGGTGGCTTCTCTTGTTGTGGAGCATGGGCTCTAGGTGTGCAGGCTTCGGTAGTTGTGGTGCGTGGGCTCAGTAGTTGTGGCACACGGGCTTAGTTGCTCCGTGGCATGTGGGATCTTCCTGGACCAGGGATCGAACCCATGTCCCCTGCATTGGCAGGCAGGTTCTTAACCACTGTGCCACCAGGGAAGTCCTACCTATTAGTCTTTATTTTCAGGGTCATTTGGTAAGTATTGTCTAGAATTATTCACTTTGGCCTATAAACTTAGGTTGCTATCTTTAACTTATTGCTTTATTTATTTCAAAATATGTAGATTTAAGTCAAAAAAATTTTTTCCAAGGCTTATTATAATGAAAAACAGTACTCCCTTCCCTATTCTTTTTACACCAGCTCTTGCTACTGAGAGGTAACCACTTTCAAATCTTTTAGCCTTCTTAAAATTTTACCTTTGTATTTCTAAGTAACATGATTTTTTCCTATTCCTTGATATTTCAGTCTTAGATTTTATTTATTGATCTATTTTGGAATATGAAAATTAAGCTCTGTTCCTTCTCCCTGTTCCCTAAAAATGTAGCTTCCTCTCTCATCCTCCCAATTTAGTGCAGTTACATCACAGTTTTGGTTCAATTAGCATTCAATATTTATACTCTTTTGACTGTGTAAATGTTATTCACAACTGGGTTGTGTGGTATCTGTAATTAGATTTCCTTTTTTGTTCCAATTTTTGTTTTAAGCCGTTTGGAATTAATTTATAATGACCATATTCTTTCATTTGCTCAGTGTTCTCTGTAGTAGCAGTTAAATTGTACCCTAACTACCTACCAGGAGTTTCAGTCTCTTAGTAGGTTCAAACACATCATGTAATCTAGCTTTTTTTTTTTTTCTTTCTTTAAAGACGTTTCTCCTGGGGCTCTCTGTCCTATGCTAATCTGGAATGGTTGCTCTTCACCTCTTTCATGCTGGATATCCCATTTCCTGAATCCTGTCTTCCTCTTTTCGTTTATTCCCTCCTTTTGGTGGTGTACCTCTTCCAACAGCTTCCTGTGAAAAACTGCATAAAGAATAGTTTTGATTCATTGGTGTGACTCAACATGGCTCAATTCTATCCATATGTTCAATTGAAACATTATGTGAGTGTTGACATTAGGCTGGAAACCATTGTCCTTTTCAATTTTACAGCATTGCACCAGTGCCTTTTAACTTCCACTGAAGCTATTGAGAAGTCATTTGTCATTTTGATTCTTGATCTTATGTGCGTCCTGTTTGTTTCTCTTTGGAAGCTGTTAGCATCTTATCTTTACTCCTAATATTCTGAAATTTCTTGATGATGTGTTAAAGGATGGATCTTTTTTTTCCGTCCTTCAGTTAATCATTGATGGACTCTTTTAAAAGGGAAATTCACATCATTGAGTTCTGGGAAGATTTTTAATATTACTTCTTGGATAAGATCCTTCCCTCTAATTTTTTCTAATCTCTATTT